CTCGAACTTTCGTGATGTAAATGGGCACGTCCAAAGTTCTCACGATCCCCGAATCCCCAGAGGACATAATAGCGTATTTGATGTGATTCGCAGTAGTGTAAATAAAGACGCCAGAATCGTCCCAGGCCCCGGACTTGATCTTCGCCGTTTCCTGAATCGTGCAGAGGGGTTCCAGCTTTCTGGTGCACAGGGCCACTTGATGCCGTGACAAAAGCGCCACGTGGGCCATGTCCGATGACCAGACAACGTGTCGGCACTTCGCAAACTTGGTATGAACCAAAGCACTGGAAAGGAAAAAAAGGTAAAATACATGAAATTAAAAAAACAAAAACTTGAGAAGTACTGTACACAATAATAAGTTTTCAAATGCACTTCATATCTGCTTCTATAAATTCGGATACTGTGCTGCAATTCCTTACAATTGCAACGTGAAAGTCACTGAATGAAGAATTTAGTCGATGAGAAACTAAATTTTCAGTTTATACAAAACAAAAATTTCCAATTGGGATGGCATTTTTAAATGAGAAAATTTTTCGAAAGTCGCCCAAAAATCGTCATCTGTGTGCTATGACGATCTGTACGTGATTCACGGAGTTTTAATAGAAAACAGTATTTACATCAAATTACAGGCACGCAGGTTTAAAAAGAAAAGTTAATTACGGTATTCTAAAACTAACCGTTTTTGTTGGATATCGAATAAAGTGACAGTGTCGGCATCACGAAGCAGCAGAACTCCTGTCCCAGCATAGTAAATTTCTTCGCAATTCGGAATTTGCACTTTCTTCGTCACTTCGTTCTTGAGGTTCTTGATGACAAGCGAATGCGTCTTGTCAAAAACGGCGAAGCGATTCCTCGCAACCCAAACCGCAGTCAATCCTATAACATAGAAAAAATTTTTTTTAGCGGGCCCTGACAAACGGACGATTAAACCTAGGGACATTTAATTAAAACTAAAAAAATATGCTTCAAGATTCCATGTCTCGAGATGAAGACACTTCGCCAAAATTTCTAGAAAGATGGAAAAAGGGCATTTTTCAAAATTTTTGAGTTCGCTTGGAACAAATCAGGCTACAGTTCCTCATCACAACATAAAACTGGAATGATAAGCTCACCGGCAGAACGCTTGCTTTCCGGAGCATCAGGGCTATCATTGTCCGACGACGACGTAGTATCCGGATTCGGCACGGCAGCGTAAAAATCATACACGGAATTCTCAGAATTGGAAGTTCTGTTCACAACGAGCAAAGCATTTTCGGCAGGATTGTAAGATATTTGATGCACTGGCGTCCTGTAACCGCCACGCAGTTGCATCACCGCAATGTCCTTACTCGACCCCAAGTCAAGCCGCCTCAGGAATCGTTCCTTGATGTAGTACACCAAATTGCCAACGACCGTGTGGGCAGGACGTTCTCTTTCCAACTTGAAGACGAGCATGCCTGAAATTGAAAATTGAAAGAATTAAGAAATACGCTGAATTTATTCTCACTTCAAAGCTCAACATTCACTCTTGATCAATTCAGGAGATAAAATCTACTTCTTGCGGAAACTTCCCAAAAATCAAACTGAAGTTCTCTGCTGATGATTTGAAGCCTCTGAAATTAGGACTTGAAACTTCATGACGCCCAAAATATTCATTTCGATGCCAAGTTTTATTTCTATTTTTTATACGGGTCCAGTTTGCAGCTTTTCACCTTTTTTCCGATTAATAAAAATGATGTTGTAAATTATTACATACATTTGGACTCTCTACAACGATTTTCTCTGTACGATATAACAGATTTTTTGGGACCCATAGATGTCATAGGAGTTCTCCAAAACGAAACTTTGTGCGACGATTTGTTCGGCTCCCTTGAATTTCATTGTATAGAGTCCACTTACACTTACTCTCGAAGATGTCGACAACAAACAAACT